ATGCAATTTTAAGCTTAGGAAGCTTCCTGTTAATTTACATAAACAGATACAATTTAAAACCATCTTTAATTTTCACAATAATTTATAACTAATCTAATTTAGCTATTTTTTTCCAACTAACACTTGAAGTAATGAAATTAAAGCCTTTACTTGTGTAACAGAAAAGTTAACTTGTAAGTTTATTTGCACTAGGAAAATTAGTATCTTCCTTGACTTGCAAGGACTTTGTGAAAACTAAGATGCCAAAACAAAAATTCATTATCTTTGGCTTTCTATTTAGCTAACAAAACTTAGTGGTAAGAAGCTAATTTCCATCTCTAAAGAGGAAATTAATATTTAAAATTTTTTCCCTAAAGGAATGTAGGCTTTCCTTGCCCTTATGTCACAACTGTATCAGAAACTTAGTATCAGGATTGTTCTTCTCCTGTCCCAACTTTGTTTTAGCCTTATTTTCAGGTTCTTTTCTATGACATGGGCTATTTGTCATAATAAGTGAATACAAAATTGTTTCTTTATATCTAAATATTCTAGAAAAGGAGTGTAGCTGTCTTCATACACTATGAGCCCCATCCACCAGGATATGGGATATTATGAGATATTGTGATTAGCTAGGGTTTAAGTCATATTATGTTCTGTGTTTGGATATTATGATTGGGTTTTTACTTTCAAGAAAATGTAAAAGCACCAGTTATTCTCTCAAGCAAAACGCTATTCTGCTAGTTGAACCTAATCAAATTAATGTTCAAAATTTCATCAGGACTTTCTCAAATGAAACAGTTTTATTTTTCTACTACAAGTGCTTGGTAATGGAGAATAATGACTACTATAATTTGGTGCTACTGATTTGTGCTAAGGCTCCAGATGTTTTATTTACTGTTAATTTCACACCACCAGTTCAAATTCCAGCAGTAAAAAAGCAAACATTATTATTTTTTTATTTGTTTGTTTATTTATTATTTATTTATACATACAAGCGCTGGGTACAGTCAGAAGCGCGGGAAAGTGAGAGAATTCACCAGAGCCAGAGCAGGGAGCAGAGCAGGCAGAAGGACCGAAGTACACTGCTGAGGGGAGCAGCGGGCGGCAGGAGAGGTCTGCGCGACATGTGGGACCCTCCTCTGGTGGCCGGGGAGCAGCCGGGGATCGAACCAGCGCTGCAGAGGCTGCGGGCAGCTTCGCAACCCAGCACTCAACCCCTGCGCCACCGGGGAGGCCCAGCAAACATTATTATTACAAAGAGCTTTGGTTTAGCAGATAGATCCCCTGAAAGGGTCTATGGTATTCCCAAAAGTTCATGGACAACACTTTTGAGCCTTGCTATTAGGTACTGCTATTAGGTATTAGGATAAACACAGAATATAAAACCAATTAAGATATGTCCCCTATTCTCAAGTTCATCCTCTAACAGAAGAAATGTAGGAGACCGTTACAAACTAGCTTTATCCATACAAGAAATAGCAGCAGTGTGGAGGATTGGTGAGGGCCATGCTACTCATGTCCTCTGACAAAGGTCCGGGCATGGGGCAGATTCCTGAAGTCAGGAATCTCGTTAGCTGACTCCTGCTAGATTCTTCTCATTTGTTTATGGCCGATTCTTCTGAATATGGCAATTGTTAATACACATATTTGAAAACTAAAACAGCAAATGTTGCATGACCAAATACTAAATAACTAATTTGATGAAAATGACAATGCATGATATAAACAGTACATTTTGAAACAATTAGTACTTTTCTGCTTGGAGACAGTAATTTAAATTTTGGTTTTACAATAACAAGTGATATGTCACATCTGAAAACCTTTGGGAACTTAAGGCTGTAAAACATTCCCAGCCAAGTCTTTGAGATAGAGTTGTGGTCTTTTAAGACTGAGACCGCCTGGAGAGGAGTTTTAAATTTAAGGATAGCAGTTAAAGTTAGAGACAACATTTAAAGTTGGAGATAGAAGTTAATTGATAGTTGAAGTTAATAGATAGTTGAAGTTAGAAATAAGTTAGTTGACAAGATAAAGAAGCAATATATGGGGCCTCCCTGGTGGCACAGCGGTTGAGCGCTGGGCTGCGAAGCTGCCCTGGGCCTCTGCAGTGCCAGTTCAATTCCCGGCCACCGGTGAGAGTCCCATATGGCAAGGCAGACCTCCCCTGCTGTGCCCGCTGCTCTCCTCAGAGTGTACCTCCATTCTTCTGCCTGTTCTGCTCCCCGCGCTGGCTTTGGTGAATTTTCTCACCCTCCTATGCTTCTGACTGTACACAGTGCTTGTATAAATAAATAAATAAATCTTAAAAAAAAAGCCACGGTTGTTAGTCTTTTTTACTACTTGAAAGCACTCGCTTATGTACTACCATGGCTTGCTCGAGATGCATAAAGAACTGCTGGGCCTCCCCGTTGGCTCAGGGGTTGAGCGCTGGCTTGCGAAGCTGCCCGCAGCCTCTGCAGCGCTGGTTTGATCCCCGGCTGCTCCCCAGCCACGCTCAGCAGTGTACTTTGGTCCTTCTGCCTGCTCTGCTCCCTGCTCTGGCTCTGGTGAATTCTCTCACCCTCCCGTGCTTCTGACTGTACCCAGTGCTTGTATAAATAAATAAATAAAAAATAAATCTAAAAAAAAAAAAAAGAACTGCTGAGGGCCTCCCCTGGTGGCGCAGTGGTTGAGCGTTGGGCTGCAAAGCTGCCTGCAGCCTCTGCAGCACTGGTTTGATCCCTGGCCACCTCGAGGGTCCCAAAAAAAAAAAAAAAAAAAAAAGAACTGCTGAGCCCCTCAGCAGGAGATGCTTGCACCCTGATCAAGTGTCTGCCTCCTCACTCCCCCTCCTCTTCATTCCCCAGTTCCTTTTCCCTCAAGTCGCCAACACCGTCTTTTCCTGCAGGGTTCCTGACATGACAGTTTGCTGGAGCTGGCTTCCGGCAGAGGATAAAGGCGAGAATGCAAGTAGAGAACAGGTGGGACAGAGTTGCATCATTTGCAGACCAAGATGAGGGCCTGACCTAAGATAGTGGCAATTAGAATAGAAATGAAGCAGGAGGTTTCCCAAACCTGCTGCTTGGGAGAGTTTTATGCTTAGTTTCTGTTGCTTTCCCAAGACTGCTGCTTGGGGGAGTCTACCCTTTGATCCTGTCCTGTGTCTGGATACTATGATTGGCTTTTTACTTTCAAGAAAATGTGAAAGCACCAGTTATTCTCTCAAGCAAAATGCTATTCTGCTAGTTGAAACTAATCAAATTAGTTTGCTGTTTGCTGAAGCAAAGAAGTTGCTGGGTGTGTTGCACTGCTTGTCGGTGGTGGTAGCCATTACTACCTTGACCCTCTTTGGAACAATAAAGAATGCTTATGCGATGATGGATGGGGTAGCAAATTTCCTCATACAAACTGTATAAAACCCTGCCATTTTTGCTCTTGGGTGCTCAGCCCTTTGGGAGCCATCCCATTGAGGCTGCCTGTATGACAGCCTCACCTGAATGCCGCCTGATTTCTCGAGTAAACTGCCACAACAGAAAAACCTTTACACTGGTGGAATTACAGGATTTGGTGGCTGATCAGGTGTGAGGAATAAAGGAGGAGGGCATCAGGGTGGCCAGTGGCCAATTTTCCACATAGGCATTACAGGAGGGGCAGGTTGGCTGAAGGGTGGGAGGAGATAATACATTAATTTTGGGCCCACTGAGAGGGATGCTAGATTTCCAAGGAGAGGTGCCCAGCTTCTTGTTTAAGGGGTCTTGCTGTTTTCTCTTCTCCGCCCTACTCTCAGTGCTTAACACAGTAGCTCTTACTGTTGATTGAAAACATCTAGTCAGGAGCTCAAATAGTTAGGGGAAGGGTTAAATTTAACAGTCATTTTATATACACGCTTATTTGAAAACACAGGAGTGGGTGAGATCAGGCTGACAGTAGCTGTGGGGATGAACTCCCGCTTCCAAGCTTCCAAATCTTTCTAGCCTCTCCTACACTGCCCGAGTTAAGAAGCGTTTTGGGGGCCTCCCCGGTGGAGCAGCGGTTGAGCGCTGGGTTGCGAAGCTGCCCGCAGCCTCTGCGGTGCCGGTTCCATCCCCAGCTGCTCCCCGGCCACCAGAGGAGGGTCCCGCATGGCGTGCAGACCTCTCCTGCCCGCTGCTCCCCTCAGCAGTGTACTTCGGTCCTTCTGCCTGCTCTGCTCCCCGCTCTGGCTCTGGTGAATTCTCTCACCCTCCCGCGCTTCTGACTGTACCCAGTGCTTGTATAAACAAACAAACAAATAAATAAATAAATAACATGCCTCTATAAAAAAATAATTTAAAAAAAAAAAGAAGCGTTTTGGGAAAATTTGCCCATGGAGGCGAGGACGGCTTATAACACTAACTTTACTTAAGGCAAACCTGTGTCCATATAACCCAGCATACTTAACCACCAAAACTTGTTACCTTTATGGCCACATATAATACCTGTGAGACTGGTTTTAATTGGGGTGAGACGGGACTGACCTCACGGCCCCACTTTCCGCATGTAGACGACGTCTCTCACGAGCCCTCTTCTAGACTATTTGGGGCAGTGTCCGGGGTCCCCAAAACGAGGCCGTGCAGGTGCCGCGTGCCGGCGCACCCCGGCCGGGGGCGGTGCTCAAACTACCCGCCCAGCTGACGCGACATAAGCTGAGATCACCTCACGCGCGCGGAGCAATCACAGCGCGCACCACCGCCGCCGTCGCCGTCGTCGCGCCGCCGGGACCCGCGACCCGAGATCCCTCCGCCCGGCCCCCCGAGCACCGCGTCCCGACGCCCCACACCGAGGGCGCACAGACTAAGTGGCCCGCTGTTCCCTAGTCGCGACTCCTCTTAGGCGCACAATCTCTGCGTCTCCGCGCCATTCGTCTCATCCGTGCCTTAAGCGTAGACAGTTTATTCAACGCTCCCGGCGTAAGAAGACGTCGGCGTTAAGGAGTCCCGCTGTGGGCGTGACTACATCAAGCCACGCCCACGCCTGTGACGCGCCAGGTGGTGCGCTCGGGAGCGGGCAGTGGTGGGAGGGGCCGGGCTTAGGGGTAGACCTGGGGGCCGGGGCCGCCCCGCCCGCCCATCCGTCGGCTCTTCTTCCTCGGTCGACTCGGGGGAGCGGCGGCGACCTCGGCCTCCAGCGTCTCCAGCGCGGTGAAGAGGCTGCGGCGGCGGGATGGTGTTTCTGGGGCTACTGCAGGCGGGCGGGCTGGTGCTGGGGCAGGCGATGGAGCAGGTCACCGGCGGCAGCGTCCTGTCCACGCTGCTGATCGCCTGCGCCTTCACGCTCAGCCTGGTCTACCTGTTCCGCCTGGCCGCCCACCGCCTGGCCCCGCTGCCGGCCGGCGCGGTACGCGCACCCCCGGGGGTCTGCGGGGGGTGGCGGGGGGCTCGGCGCCCTGGGCGGCGGTAGAGCCGGGGCGGGTGCGCGGCGGGGAGGGCGGTGTTGTAGGGTCGGGGGCGTGGTAGCGGGGAGTGACCCCATCCCTGGCTCTGCTTCCTGGGGCGCTGGCGGGCCCCTTGCTGCCTTGCTTTTGCGGGCCGTGGTGTTGGGGGCGTTGCTGATGGTGACCCACTGTCTGGTTCTGGGTGAGTCGTGTTGGTCGTACCACTGGGTCCTGACTGTGCCCGGACTGGAGGCCTTGTTGGCGGGGTCTTTGTCAGCTGCTGTTCTGGGGACTGGCGTTTCGGTGGCTGCCCTTGTGTGGGTCTGTGTCCTGAAGCTGTGGCATTGCCCTAATGGCGATTCATCAGTTCTAAGGGGAATGTGTTTCGTTTGGTAGAGCAGGAGCGAACTGGGGGAGGTTGTGGGGACTTGCCCACGATGCTCATATTACAACTTTTCGAATTTAGTGGCTTTGTTGAATATTAGCTTCATACTACCCAAATGTATTTGATAAATGGGCCCTTAACCAGCCAACACCAGGTGATTTTTAAAACTACCCTGGAATGCTCAGTAGAATATGCAAACTATGGAATATACAAACCTATTGACCAAGAATATACGATGGAATATACAAGCTATTGATGAAGCTAGAATAATTTTTGTTTGACCCATAACAGACATGAAGTAGTTATTTCTCTTACACATGGGATTTCTGAGAAAATGTTTGTTTTTGCAAAGACAAAGGTAGCTTTAATATTTTAAGGCAATTGTGTTATCTGAAGAGTCAGTCTGTTTTGTTCCTTACTATATGAGACCAGCAATGATCTAAGGAATTCTAGTCCCTTTTTTATCACTGTAAGCTTGATTTTGTAATCTGCAAGTCTCTCTTTGGGACATATAAAGTATCTTTTATAGTGAGTGCTAAAGAGTTCCTAAAAGTGCTCATGTGTTCGCTCCTTAACATCAGTGAGGATAGTTCTTTTGCAGTGAGAGAAGACTGAGGTGTGTTTTATGTATTGATATTTGTGTCTTCTTAGACATTTCCCTTACTTCTATACCTCATGTTACTGTTTGTCTTTTTCTATACCTTCTTTTGCTAAGATTCTGGGACTGAAATTGTCAGAGTAGTGATGGTAAACAAACTGTGGTTTGATTTTCCTGATTTTTTGCTACTAATGGTCAGGAAAGTTGCCTTGAATGACTAATATTCTATTCTGGGTGCTATTCAGCATTGATAATTGTAATGCCTTTGTATTTTTTTAGTCATTTATCTTACCATATTTTGAATTTCTATTCTTTTTTTCAATCAAGAATACTTTTTTTAATATTTTATGTATTTTTACATCATTTTCATTTTTGCACATTTTCATTTTTGCACAAAAATTTTGCATTTTCATCTTGATTATATTCCCCATATAATTCCCCCCCCCTTTTTTGACTCTAATCCCTTCTGCCCTCCCCCCTACCCATAGTGTGTCTCTGGTTTATAGTTGCTTGTTGAATTTAATTTTTACTTTATTATAATTAGTCTTTTTCCTGGTCCCTTATTTAGGTTTTCTAAATTCCTGCTATGAGTGAGACTATCTGGTATTTTTCTTTTTCTTTTTGGCTTATTTCACTAAGCATGATCCCTTCCAGCTCCATCCATGTTGCTGCAAATTGCATGAGTTTATTTTTTGATTGTGTATATGTATCACATTTTCTTGATCCAGTCATCTATTTTTGGGCATTTGGATTGTTTCCACAGCTTAGCTATTGTAAATAATGCTACTACAAACATAGGGTAGCAGGTGCTCTTTTGAATTAATGTTTCTGTGTCCTTTGGGTAAATATCAAGGAGTGGAAATGCTGGGTCAAATGGAAGCTCCATCTTTAGCAGGTTGAGGAATCTCCACACAGCTTTCCATAGTGGTTGGACCAGTTTGCACTCCCACTAGCAGTGCAGGAGAGTTCCTTTTTCTCTGCAACCTCACCAACATTTGTTGTAGCTAGTTTTTTTAATATGTGCCATTCTCACTGTTGTAAGATGGTATCTCATTGTAGTTTTGATTTGCATTTCCCTGATTACAAGTAAATTTCTATTTTAACTATGACTACTCTCCTGAAGTATTTGCAGTTTGCTTAGTTTTGATAATTTTTATTTATTTGTTTGTTTAAAGATTTACTTATTTATACATACAAGAATTGGGGTACAGGCAGAGTTGTGGGAGGTGAGAGGATTCACCAAAGACAGGGTGGGGAACAGAACAGGCGGATTGACTGAAATACACTGCTGAGGGGAGCAGTGGGAGAGTCAGGAGAGGTCTGCTGCACCATGTGGGTAGCTCCCTGGCTGGGGGATTGAACTCTTGCTGCAGTGGCTGCGGCTAGCTTCACAGGTTGTATCTTAACACCTTGTACCACCAGGGAAGCCCGATAAATAATTTTTAGGTCCTTTTTAGTATTAAAGGTAAATTTCATTTGTTTGGTCATGAAACTAACCTGGGTTTCTCTCAAAATGAAATGTGAACTGAAAGTTTTTGTTTTCTTTTGCAGAAAAATCCACCATACATTTTCTCTCCGATTCCATTCCTTGGACATGCTATAGCATTTGGGAAAAGTCCAGTTGAATTCCTAGAAAATGCATATGAGAAGGTAAATTTTTTTTTTTTTTTTAATAGAGGCATTTTATTTATTTATTTATTTGTTTGTTTGTTTTGTTTACACATGCACTGGGTACAGTCAGAAGGGCAGGAGGGTGAGAGAATTCACCAGAGCCAGAGCAGGGAGCAGAGCAGGCAGAAGGACCGAAGTACACTGCTGAGGGGAGCAGCGGGCGGCAGGAGAGATCTGCGTGCCATGTGGGACCCTCCTCGGGTGGCTGGGGAGCAGCCGGGGATCGAACTGGCGCCGCAGAGGCCGCGGGCAGCTTCGCAACCCAGCGCTCAACCGCTGCGCCACTGGGGAGGCCCGAGAAGGTAAATCTTTTAAATGATTAGAGGAAAAGAAGCTAGAGCTTTTAAATTTTTAAGTGGGAAAACATTGTAAATATATTAGTTCATGTTTATCCGAAGTATAGAAAGCAGGAAAAAAGTGGAACTTCTCTGGTTAAAGTTGGGGGAACCTTAGAGATCCTCTTCTCCCACATCCTGGAATGATCTCTGAGGCACCGTTGAGGAAACCTGGAGTTCTGGCAACTAATCATAGTTAAAATTGATATTAATTGACCTTTCTTTTTCTTTATCATGCCATCTGTGGAATTCCTTATCCTCTGTCATGTGCTCTGTGTCTTCAGTTCAACTTGGATGAGCCACACACCATAGCCACTAAGATCTTTGCTCTTCTCTCCAACAAGCATTCTTGTACCAGTTCAGCCATATATTCCACAGTTCCCCACTTTGGGATGGTCACTCTTAACTACTTCACCTTCACTTTATGAATTTACTCACCCTATTCTTTTAAAATATTTATTTATTTTTAATTAGGTAATATTTGGATACCCCCATCAGGTGTAATCAACATAGTAGTGTGCCCATTACCAGTCTATTTTTTTTTAACAATTTATTTTTTATTTATTTATGCATAGAAGAACTGGGGTATAGGCCAGAGGTGCGGGGAGTGAGAGGGTTCACCAAAGAGAGAGTGGGGAGCAGAACAGGCAGATCTGTTGACATACACTGCTGAGGGGAGCAGAGGGTGAGCCAGGAGAGGTCTATATGTGGTTCAGCTCCCTGGCCAGGCATCGAACTTGTGCTGCAGTGGCTGGTGATAGTTTGATAGTGCTGAGACTGAATCCCTTGTGCCACCAGGGAGGCCCTTTCAGTCTTGTTCTTAAATCACATCTACTACTCCAAGTTCTTGGGTGAACTACTTCCATTTTAATCATTTTTTGACCTCATTACAGATTCTAATTCATTGTCCATTTACTTTCTCCTGATCTATTGTTGGGTCGGGAATGCACCAGCGTGTCCCCTGGGACAAGCTGGGGGAGGAGTCGTGGAGCAGGTTTGCAAGGCTCAGTGAGCAACCCTCTTGTTATGATTGATTATGTGACAGTGGCAGGAGGAGCAGGGTCCAGGGGAGACAAAGGGTAATCAAGTTTATGGGGAAGAGGAGGGGACCTGTTGGCCAAGGTATACAGGGAGGACTTCCTGTGCAGGTACTTGATGTAATTTCTGAGGTACTCCTAGACCACCTCAGACCATGGCCACACAATCAGTCAGTGGCTACCTTGGTGTGCTCTGCTGCCTCGTGATGTGGGCCATTGTCTTAAGGCAGTCATGCAGGAGTGCCTTATCCAGTTCTTTCCCCCACATACATGTGCATAGAGAGGCCATACACAAACAGGTACAGAGGCCCCAAGTGGTAGAGGGGCCACAGTCTGTCAGCTTTCTTGCTTTACTTTGTTTCTTTTTCCACTTTGGGACAGTGAGTCATTATTACAGTTAGACTTTTGCGAAAACCTAAAATTTCTTTGCCCCTGGATCTTTTCATTGCACTTACCTGGTAAAACTGCATGCTTGCACCAGGCCAACCCCTTTCCTAATTTCATTAGTGCCCACCTGCAATGACAACACTTTGAACAATGCTCAGCATTCCTGTTATGTTTCACCACAATGACTAATGCATACCTTTACTTTTCTAAACTGGTGGCTCTTCCTACCTCTTTATCGAAACAGATGACTAATCTCTTTAGAGATTATAAACCATCCTTGGGAACTCTGTTGTATTGACAATTTCAAACATACAGACTTATTTCCAGCTATGTAATCCTGTTTCCTATTACACTAATGATTATGACACTTTGTGTGAGTACTGAGTGCTTTACATAGATTATCTCATTGAAAAACACAAAAACCCCTTGTATCCATTTTATAGATGACAAAACTGAGGAATAGAGAAGTTACATGATTTGTTCTTTGGCTCACTATTAGCTCGTAGCCATGCTTGGACTTATGTATGGTTTGATTTCCAGATTATTGCTTTAAATAATAATGAGGATGATGATAAAAGAAAATGTTTACATATGGTCAAATCACTTTCCTTATATGTTCTTTAATATGTATATACTATATATAACATATATACTGTATATAAATGCTGTACATATAAAATTTCTGACATAGGTAATTTAATTTTAATAACAGTTCTATGAAGTAGGTACTGTTTTTATTGACATTTTTATGGACGAGGAGACAGTCACAGAAAGTTAGAACCAAGGTCACACAGCTAATAGATGGAAGAGCTGGGATTTGAACCCAGGTATTTGGCTCCAGAATCTGGTTGTCTAGCACCCTATTTACTGTCACTTTGATTTACCATAGATATAACAATCCATTTTTGGTCTCAGGGACCTTATACTATTATTTCTTCTCTCAATGTATGGTTGAGTTCTCTTTCAACTAGATCTTCCCTGTTTTCTCAGCGATGTTCTTAAATATTGTCCATTTAAAAAAGACCAAAACTTCACTTTACTGCTCAGTCTTCTCTTATGATCTTCCCATTCTGTACTTAATATCTCTTGTTTCTACATCTCCTGTTTATTTTTTAGTTCACTCTAGTCTGTCTTTCATCCCCTTCAATGAACTGCATGTCTCAATCCAGTGAACTTGACTTCTCAGCTGTATTCAGCACTGATGGCCATTCCTCAGTATATGTAGTTCTCTCATACTCTCCTATTTCTTTTTTTTTCCTTATAACTTATTTATTTTTTAAATTTTTTATATCATTGTTCATTTTTAAACAATATTTGCTTTCCTCCACCCCCTCAGGTTTAGTCCCCACAAATCATTTCCAACAAAAGGTTGTAGCTATAATTTTAGCTACTATTTTCTAGCATCCTATTAACTAGGATATAGAATAACTTACTTAATTGGAACTTAAACAGAGAAACATTTGTTCATAGTTTGTTCAAAAATTTTCATTTGAAATTGACCAAACTAGAAAATTGAGCAGTAGAATTATTTTTTTGCATATATTTGAAAATGAAGCAAGTGTATTCTCCCCTTAAATTGAAAATTAATGAAATACTCTTTTCACTTCTATGATAAAAGATACTGAAAAGATTTTTAAAAAATCAATTTTGTGATTTTTATTTGGTAATGCAATTCATTTATTGTATTATAGGTATTTCTAATAGATTTTCATTTTTAGGGAAAATGTAAGTTTTGTCACTTCTTGAGTTACGAACATCTACTTTATAAATACCTGTGCATAGTAATAACCATCTTTTGCTGGGTTCCAGAAAAGAAATGAACAAATTTAATATTATTTCTAAAATTAGATTGCAAGTTCCATGCAAGAAACTTAAAAATAAAATTTTGATGCATTCCTTTTCTGTTTTGGCAATAGAAAAATAACAATCTCTTTATTTACTTCAGTTATATGTAGAGAATGATGGAGTATAGAATCAAAGATTATTACCTCCTGGGTTTGTAACTAGACTATTTAAGTAGGTTGTGACATCGCTCATCCCTGTCCCTGGTGATCTTTAAATAGCTTATTGCAAATAAAAAGATTGTGACATCAGAAGACAACTGACTGCATTCCTCCTTTTGTTTTCTCTACTTCTCAACGTATGGGCTGACACAAGAGGTAAAGCTAAAAAACTGCCAGCACCCAGATATTGGATATTCATTTGAAAATATCCCATAGATTTTTAAACTCCAAAAATGAGAAATTGTTTCAGTTAACTCCAACTTCGGTTTCAGAAGTTGGAGAAATTATACAAGCTTATGCTTATTATGATAGATACAATATAGTAAAAAGCTATAATATTAACAGTTAAAATATTAAAAGAATCTTTTATTTGGTGGTGTAATTCTGATACTAATGATATATATAAATATCTAGAGAGAGAGAGAGAGAGCACATAGCTTTTAAAGTTTCAGATTTTGGGTAACTGAGTGCTTTTTCATTTCTGACCTATTTTGTTAGTGCTCTCTTAATGACATTGTAAATTGTAAGAATCATCTAAAACCTGTGCTCGAAATTTATCTTTTTAACAAGAAAAGGTGAGAAAACATTAGTTTGTTTAAAAATAATTAACTGCTTCTTAAAGTTCCTTCCAATCACCAGAAGATACTGAATTACAATTAGGTTTTTCGTAACAATACTGAGTAATATCTTAAGCATATTTGTGTTATTTTTTGTATAAGTTTGTAAATATTTAATTCCAACCAAACTTTTTTCTTTTATTTGTTTTTTACATCATTGTTCATTTTAAAACTATTTGCTTCCCCCCATACACCTCAGGTGTAGTCCCCATAGAATTTCCTTCACTAGTGCACCCTTGCACCATCACCTCAGTCCCCTGTGCTCCTCCCTGCCTCCCTCTGATCCCTCTCCCTCCTCCTCCCCTGCAGAATGTCTCTGGTTTATAATTGTCTGTTTTTGCTTTGTTGTGTTTTGTGCTGTTATTATTTTTTTTCACTGATGTCTTATTTGGTTCCCCTATATTCCTCCTGTAAGTGAAATCATCCGATGTTTTTCTTTTTCCTTCTGACTTACTTCACTAAGCATAATTCCTTCTAACTCCATCCATGTTGCTGCCAATGGCATGAGTTTTATCTTTTTTGATTGCTGAATAATATTCCATTGTGTGTGTGTGTATGTGTGTGTGTGTATATATATATATGTATATATATATATACACACACCACATCTTGATCCAGTCATCTGTTTTTGGACATTTGGGTTGTTTCCAGGTTTTACCTATTGTAAGTAGTGCTACAATAAACATAGGGGTACAGGTGTTTTTTTGAATCAGTGTTTCTGTGTCCTTTGGGTAGATCCCTAATAGTGGAATTACCGGGTCATATGGTAGCTCCATTTTTAGTAGACTGAGGAACCTCCAGACAGCTTTCCATAGTGGTTGGACCAGTCTGCACTCCCACCAGCAATGTAGGAGTCTTACACTCCTATTTCTTTGACTGTTTCTTCTCTCACTCATTTGTGGGCTCATGCCTGAACATTTACTGTTAGGGTTCTCTTAGGTTTGGGCCTATGTCTTTATTCTTTCCTAGGCAATCTTTTCCTGATTCAATTACCAGCCATATGTAGATGACACCAAAATTAATGTTTCTAGCTCAGGTTTTTCTCTGAGTTTTGGAGCTGGTTATCTAACTTTTCTTAAATGATTCTTTTTCAGTTGTTCCTACCAACATTTCTAATGTTTAATCCTAGAATTTTTTTTTTCCTCTCCAATCCTAGTTGTTTTATTCTCTTCTCACCATTGTTTATCCGGTTTTGCAGGCCCAGGATTAGTCCATGCCCAGTCTGCAGATTCTCTCTTCTTCTTTTTCTTTCTTTTTTTTTAATCCAAAGTCCTTTGGCCTTTTATTTATTTATTTTTTAAAAGATTTATTTGTTTATACAAGCACTGGGGTAAAGGCCAGAGGCACAGGAGGGTGAGAGAATCCACCAGAGACAGAGCAAGGAACAGAACAGGCAGAATGACCGAAATACACTGCTGAGGGGAGCAGCGGGCAAGATAGGAGAGATCTGTCGTGCCATGTGGGAATCTCCCCAGGCCAGGCAGGAATTGAACCAGCGGACAGCTTCACAGCACAGCACTGAACCCGCTGCACCACCAGGGAGGTCTTGCAGATTCTCTTTTCTAATTAATTTGGTGTCAGTCAACTTCTGTGACTACTGCCCCATCATTACTTTGTACCAAGTGTGCATTCTCAGGTTTCTGCAAAAGGCTCTGCCCGGTCCTCTGGTATCCTTTATGCTCTTTACCCTTGCTCCACTTCATACAGCAGCTAGAGGGATCTTCCTTTTAAAATATGCATAGATCAGGGCCTCCCTGGTGGCACAAGGGGTTAAGCACCACCCTGTGAAGCAATCTGCGGCCTCTGCAGGACGAGTTCGATCCCTGGCCAGCCAGAGAGCAAACTACATGGCAAGGCAGACCTCTCCTGTCTTGCTTGCTGCTCCCCTCAGCAGTATATTTCAGTCAGTCTGCCTGTTTCTGTTCCCCACTCTGTCTCTGGTGAGTCCTCTCAACCCCTGCATCTCTGGCCTGTACTCAAGCTCTTGTATGCATAAATAAATAAATCTTAAAAAAAATAAAATATGCAGAGATCAACATATCTTTTCCATGCAGTTTAAAATCCCCCATGACTTTCCATTGCTTGCAAGGAGGAAGTTTCCTGAATATGGCTTATGATGGACCAGCTGAGTCAAGCAGAATCTGAGGGAGGATGGTAGGATATTAAGGAAAGACCAGAGTCAGAAGTGTTAGTGAAAGCTGGCAGAATGACCGACAGGTGGACTGTCACAGAGCAGAAGAGCATATATATTTATACAATCTTGAGCAAGGGGGAGGGCAGGCAAAATCCTTGGAGGTATTGGGAGGTGCCAGCTGTTGCAACAATATCAGGAAGCTGCATGCCTTTGCTGAGCTCAGGTTCTAGCTTGAAGTGGGAAGACAGCCTCTATCTATGCCTCGTGACCCAGGGACTATTGCCATATCAGGTCATTTGGCGGGGGCGGTGTGGCCCAGGACTATTGCCCCAAGAGCACACACCCCTGGCTCCCAACAATGAGGCTCTGTCTGATCTAGACCCTTCTAGCTCTAGGTCCCGCCAGACTCAGCCTCTCCCAGTTGGCATGTTTGTGCATGCTTGGCCATCATCCTTCAGGTCTCACCTTAGTCATTTTCCTCTCTTAGATCTTTTTTTAGTTGCTTATCAGAGAATTGCTTTCCTTAGTGTAACTGTCTCATTTATAATTTTACCTTTCTTAATGTGGTTATTTGATTAAGTTGTATCTTTTCTGATAGACTGATCTTTATTAGTCAGTGACAGTATTTTTTGTGCCTGAATGTATTCCCAGAGCCTAGTTTTCAATAAAAATAATCAGAAACTGCAATGTAAAACATTTAACATCTAATCAGATTAAGATAAAATCATTTAGTGTTGGTGAGAGTGTGGTAAACTGAAATTTCAGTGAAATACTGGCATCTTCACACAGTAAGAACCATAGTAAATGCCATATACTTTATGCAAAGGGAAAAATATATATTCTTAGATACTCACTGCAAAATTATCTATTATAAGAAACTGTCACATTATATGTCCACAATGAAAAAAAGATAATTAACTTTATAGTCTGAAAGAAAATGCTTTTAATGTAAACAGTGAGGAAAAGAATGAAAAGTCTTGCTTATGCTCTATTTGCAACTGCGTGAACATAAATTTGGGGAAGAATTACATTAATTCTTACAAATGTTTTCATTTATTAACCGTGTATTGTTTTATGATTTCAGAAATGAGTATACTAGTGCTACTTATTTTTTTGTAACTTCATGATGGTATTTTTCTCTCTTTAGTATGGACCTGTATTTAGTTTTACCATGGTGGGCAAGACGTTTACTTACCTTGTGGGAAGTGATGCGGCTGCACTGTTTTTCAATAGTAAAAATGAGGACCTGAACGCAGAAGATGTCTACGGTCGTCTGACAACACCTGTATTTGGGAAGGGAGTTGCATATGATGTGCCTAATCCAGTAGGTGACCACTATTATCTTGAAGAAAGACAAAGCTCTACTTTTATAATTATTTTTTTTTTTTAACATTTTACTTTTTCTTTTTTTTCAACAAATTTTTTTTTTTTTTTTTAAGATTTATTTATACAAGCACTGGGTACAGTCAGAAGCGCGGGAGGGTGAGAGAATTCACCAGAGACAGAGCAGGGAGCAGAGCAGGCAGAAGGACCGAAGTACACTGCTGAGAGGAGCAGCGGGCGGCAGGAGAGGTCTGCGCGCCATGTGGGATCCTCCTCTGGTGGCCGGGGAGCAGCCGGGGATCGAACCGGCGCCGCAGAGGCCGCGGGCAGGTTCGCAACCCAGCGCTCAACCGCTGCGCCACCGGGGAGGCCCTACTTTTATAATTATTAATGTTAGCAGGTTATAATATTATACATTTAAAATACAAAAACAATTTATTCCTTGGTTCAAAAACCAGAAGAATGGTGAGACATTAAACAGGAGAACAACTATGGGTGATGAAGAGTGGTGATGTGCTACGTTGTTGCCTTGAGCTAAGCAATTTTGAGGAGACTCTTACCAAGAAATAGAATCTTAGCATATTGTGATTTGATTGAGTAAATAATAAGAAACACCTATTATTTCATCAGGAGGACCTGTCTTCTAATGCCTACTTAAAATTCTAACATTTGAGTTAAAGATTTTATGTGATTAGACATATGTGATTTCCTCCTCTTTCCCCCAAATCAAATATTAAAGTGGCTCTGAGTAATATAGATAATTAGACCATTTGTTTTGTGTGGGTTTTGGATATGAACATTACCCAGTTGTTAGTATAGCACTTAAAAGTTGATTTCAAGTGTTTTTTCTGGGGTTGGAGAGGAATGGCAAGTGAGGCTAAAAGCAAGAGCTCTAGCAAATCCCTCTTCTCAGGTATATCTAATAATTTTGTCACACAGATTTTTAAAATAGAAAATGCCCCAAAAAGTTAAAACCATTAGTTATCTTAATGATGAATTAACTTTATTTAGATTACATTATATTCTAATTAAACTTAGTGGAAGATAGTGTCAGTGAAGAATGATAATTGGGAATAGAATGAGAGAATATGTGAAGGGAGGACTTTCAGGTAATTATGTTTTGTTGAAAATATAGAAACATATAGAAACATAATGGACTTTTAGGTAATTATGTTTTGTTGAAACAACACAACAGGAAAAGGGAGTCCCAGAGTCAAGAGCAGGGAAAGGGTCTGTAAGAAGGAAGGCAGGAGGTGGGATTTCTAGACTTTGATTTGTCTAGAGCCCCCATAACAGTTGTCTTCTACATGTTTCTTCACATAGATGCATAAATTCTCTTAAGTTTCCTATAGCAAAAAAAAAAAAAAAGTTTCCTATAGCTGTTGTAGTTTAAAAAATCTTTTTACCATTTTTCTTTCAATTTTTCAGAAGGTGGTTTTCTTTGCGTAGGAACAGCTATGTTATCCCAAATGGAACTTGTGATAAAATAAAATTGTTTTAATACTGTATACCCTTAATTTTTTGAAGGTTTTCTTGGAGCAGAAGAAAATGTTAAAAAGTGGGCTTAACATAGCCCACTTTAAACAACACGTTTCTATAATTGAGAAAGAAACCAAGGCATACTTTCAAAGTTGGGGAGAAAGTGGAGAAAAAAGTAAGCAAGACATTTTGGTTTTGTGTTTGTCCTAATGTTTCTACTTTTCTTTCATGAGAAATATAAGAATATATTTGTGCATATGAAAAACCTACAACATATGTAAAGTCATCTTAGATTTAGTGAAAGTATCATGTGATGAATACCATGGAGTTAAGAAGACCTGTGAGGAAGTGCCCATTGCTGCTCACTTAGAAAGTCCCTAAAATGGGTTATTTAACATGCATATTATTCAGCTCATTATACAAATAATGGAAAAATTACACGGGATTGAATGTTGAAATAAACTTGAATGTATAACTTTTTGCATAAAATTAATTTTTGAACCCCAGTGGGCAAGAAATTTCTAAGCAACTTGATTGTATATGTAATAACTTATTTATCTAATGTGTAAAAATTATTTATTCCATGGAAAAAGGGTAAAATTTAAAGACATAATCTTATCAAAATTTTATTTTTACTAACAAATTCCAGTAGAAATCTTCAAAAATGTAGTATATGCTTTCTTTTTCTTTTTTTTTTTAAGATTGATTTATTTATGCAAGAACTAGGGTACAGGCCAGAGGTACGGGGAGGGTGAGAGAATTCACCAGAGATAGGTCAGGGAGCAGAACAGGCAGACAGACTGAAACAGACTGCTGAGGGGAGCAGCGGGCGAGGCTGGAGGGGTCTGCTGTGCCATGTGGGTTTCTCCCTGGCCAGCCAGGAATCAAACTGGCACTGCAGAGGCTGCAGACGGCTTTAAAGCACTGGGTTCAACCTGCTGCACCACTGGGGAGGCCCAGTATATGCTTTCTTATAGAGCGAGAGTATAGTGAATGTGACTTGACCTTCTTTGCATAATTTTGTGAATCCAGTCTTTATACTGGACGGCAGGAGATGTTGTCTTAAGAGGCAATTGTCTTAAGAGCCATTACAGCAGTAATACTGTGTAAGTCACCACATTCTGTATGTGATCTTCAGTTTTCATAAAAGATCCAGAAACTTGATTTTTATGTTGAATATGCTTAGTGTTGATGTAATAACTTTTTAACCATACAAGAAGCAAACCTATAAACATAATTGTCAACTTAATAAATAAAAATGAGACATAATAATGGCATCAAAAACAAAGTAATATTTGCTGAACGTCTCTTTATTGGCAAAACTAATTGGAAAGCCAAATAATTGGAAGTTCATTTGGTGAATGAGAAATTAAAGGATGGATCATTGATTGGAAAATTTTTGTGACTTAGTTATCAAAATGTGCTTACATCTGGTTCCATTGTTGGGATATACCATGTGGTGATTAGTTACATTCCTTTATATATAAGACTTTAATTTTTAGCCTTGACCATCCCACTTTTGACCTGGGAAATAATCCAGTCAGTCTTTGAACTATTCCTTGGGAGGCACTTCATTATCATTCTCTCATGCACTGAAGCTTTTTGCTGCTTTTGTTACACTGCAGCCTGGAATTCAGATAATCACATTCATTTTTATTCATTTTATGTTTTTATGATGAAGGGTTTATATGAGAAAGGTTTAGAGATATTTTTGTGGCATCTGTTTTGGTTATGCAAAGGGTTGGGTACTTCACTTGGGGTCTTGACTCTTTGTTCTGCATAGTAGAGTAGCCACATATCTGACTAGGCTTTTTTTATGGTATGAGTAGAATCTAGTTTGAGGTTTTTTTTTCTCAGTTTTGTGTCGCTCTACCTTTATATCTTTATTTATTATTTTTTTTTTAATAGAGGCATGTTTTATTTATTTATTTGTTTGTTTGTTTGTTTTGTTTATACATGCACTGGGTACAGTCAGAAGCGCGCGGGAGGGTGAGAGAATTCACCAGAGCCAGAGCAGGGAGCAGAGCAGGCAGAAGGACTGAAGTACACTGCTGAGGGGAGCAGCGGGCGGCAGGAGAGGTCTGCGCGCCATGTGGGACCCTCCTCTGGTGGCCGTGGAGCAGCCGGGGATTGAACCGGCGCCACAGAGGCCGCGGGCAGCTTCGCAACCCAGCACTCAACCGCTGCGCCACCGGGGAGGCCCTCTACCTTTATATCTTTAAAAAAACAGTATTGCAAAAGAATTTTTGGGAATAGTAATGGAAATGATCTTTTTCCACCTAGATTTGTTTGAAGCACTTTCTGAGCTCATAATTTTAACTGCTAGTCATTGTTTACATGGAAAGGAAATCAGAAGTCAACTCAATGAGAAGATGGCACAACTGTATGCAGATTTGGATGGAGGTTTTAGCCATGCAGCTTGGCTGTTGCCAGGTTGGCTCCCTTTACCTAGTTTCAGGTATGGATAAAAAAACTATGCTTGGTTATTTAACCTTCTGTAATTATTGTAGTGTTGGTATGCTTTGCATCTTTGCATTAACAAAGATAAAACTTTTTTTTTAAATTTAAATTTTATTTTTATATTCCCCATACAATTACAACCCCATTATTTTGACCCCAATCCCTCCTTTCCCCACCCCCCAACCCCCCATAGAGTATCTCTGGTTCATAGTTGTTTGTTGATTTTGATATTTTCTTTCTTATAGTTATTCTTTTTCCTGGTCCCTTATTTAGGTTTTCTAGATTCCTGCTATGAGTAAGGCCATCTGGTATTTTTCTTTTTCTTTCTGGCTTATTTCACTGAGCATGATCCCTTCTAGCTCCATCCATGTTGCTGCAAATTGCATGTGTTTATCTTTTTTGAATGCTGAGTAATATTCCATGGTGTATATGTACCACATCTTCTTGATCCAGTCATCTATTTTTGGGCATTTGGGTTGTTTCAAAAGCTGAGCTATTGTAAATTGTGCTGCTATAAACATAGGGGTGCAGGTGCTCTTTGGAATGGATGTTTCTGTGTCCTTTGGGTAGATACCTAGGAGTGGAATTGCTGGATCATATGGAAGCTCTATGTTTAGTAGGTCCAGAAATCTCCACACAGCTCTCCATAGTGGTTGGACCAGTTTGCACTCCCACCAACAATGCAGGAGAATTCCTTTTTCTCCACAACCTCGCCAACATTTGTTGTTGCTAGTTTTTTTAATATGTGCCATTCTCACTGGTGTTAGATGGTATCTCATGGTAGTTTTGACTTGCATTTCCCTGATTACAAGTGATGTTGGACATTTTTTCATATGCCTTTTGGCCATTTGCATTTCCTCTTCAGAGAAGTATCTTACCACTTTACTGAACTGATTGATTAGTTGAATTAATTTTTCTGTGGAGTTTTTGGGGTTCTCTATGTATATTATCATATCATCTGCAAATAGTGATAGTTTGACTTCTTCTTTTCCTATTTGGATTCCTTGGATGTCTTTCTCTTGTCTTATTGCTCTGGCTAGGACTTCTAGTATTATATTGAAAAGCAGTGGTGAAAGTGGACATCCTTGTCTTGTTACAGATCTTAATGGAAATGCTTTCAGCTTTTCACCATTGAGAATGATACTGGCTGTTGGCTTGTCATATATGGCCTTTATGATGTTGAGGTATGTTCCTTGTATCCCAAGAATTTCAAGGGCTTTTATCATGAATGGGTGTTGCACTTTGTCAAAAGCTTTCTCGGTATCTATCGATATTATCATATGGTTTTTATATTTCTTTTTGTTGATGTGTTGGATGACGTTGATTGATTTTTGGATGTTCAACCATCCTTGTGTCCCTGGAATGAATCCTACTTGGTCGTGGTGAATTATCTTATGGATACATTGTTGGATTCTGATAGCTAAAATTTTATTGAGGATTTTTGCATCAGTGTTCATTAGCGAGATTGGCCTGTAGTTTTCTTTTTTTGTGTTGTCCTTGTTCGGTTTTGGTATTAGTGTAATGTTGGCTTCATAGAACATGTTTGGTATTATCCCTTCCTTCTCAATTTTTTGGAAGAGTTTGTGAGGATAGGCACTAATTCGTTTCTGAACGTTTGTTAGAATTCATTTGTAAATCCATCAGGTCCTGGGCTTTTGTTTTTGGGAAGGTTTTTGATTACCATTTCAATTTCGCTGCTTGTAATTGGTCTGTTTAGGTGTTCTATTTCTTCTTTATCTAGCTTTGGGTGATTGTAGAGTTGTAGGAATTTGTCCATCTCCTCTAGATTGTTGAACTTGTTTCCATATAACTGTTCATAGTAGTTTCTGATTATTCTTTTGATTTCTGCTGTGTCCGTTGTGATTTCTCCTCTTTCATTTGTGATCCTGTTTATTTGTGCTTTCTCCCTTTTTTCCTTTGTGAGCCTGGCTAGGGGTTTGTCTATTTTATTTATTTTTTCGAAGAACCAGCTCTTGCTCTTGGTTTCATTGATCTTTTGGATTTTTTTTCTTTAGTTTGAATTTCATTTATTTCTGCTTTGGTTTTTAGTATTTCTTTTCGTCTACTGGTTTTGGGGTTTTTTGTTGTTCTTTTTCTAGTTCTTTGAGGTTCGAGATTAGGTTGTTTCTTTGAGTTCTTTCTTGTTTCTTGATGTGAGCCTCTATTGCTATATATTTTCCTCTTATTACTGCTTTTGCTGCATCCCATACATTTAGGAAATTGGTGTCCTCCTTGTCATTCAATTCAAAGAATTTTTTAATTTCTTCTTTGATCTCCTCATTAGTCCAGTGGTCTTCCAGTAGTGTGGTTTTCAATCTCCATGAATTAGGAGAGTTCCTTGCCTTCTTTTTGTGGTTTGTTTCTAGTTTGATGCCTTCATAGTCAGAAAAGATGCTTGGTGTGATTTCATTCTTGGTATATCTGTTGATGTTCGTCTTGGGTCCCAGAATGTGATCGATCCTGGAGAATGATCCGTGTGTGCTTGAGAAAAAATGTGTACTCAGATTTTTTTGGGTTTAGTGTTCTATAGATGTCTGTTAAGCCCAAGCGCTCTAGATCCTTATTTAGAGCTTTAGTGTCTTTACTTATTTTTTGTCTCGTTGATCTATCCATTGTTGATAGTGGTGTGTTGAAGTCTCCCACTACGTATGTGTTTTCTCTGATGTCTGTTTTCAAAGATGATAATAGTTGTCTGATATATTTTGGTGCTCCTTCAAATATATCTTAATGAGTGTTATTTCTTCTTGAAGTTTTGTCCCCTTGATCATAATGTAGTGACTGTTGGGGTCTCTTTTTAGCTTTTTGAATTTGAAATCTGTTTTATCTGATATAAGTATAGCTGTTCCTGCTTCCTTTTTTGGTCCATTTGCTTGTAGGATTGTTTTCCATCCTTTAAATTTGATTCTTTTTTTATCTTTTGTAGCTAAATGTATTTCCTGGAGACAGCAAAAGGTTGGGTTTTGTTTCTTAATCCAGCCTGTGACTCTGTGTCTTTTTATTGAAGAGTTTAGTCCATTTACATTTAGAGTTAATATTGATATGTTAGCATCTGTATTTGCCACTGGAAATCACTTTCCTTTGATTTTATTTATTTATTCTTTTAACAACTTTTTTTTTTTTTTGGCCTTCTTTCGTTGTTATTTGTCCCTCTGAGGTTCTGGCTTTAGGACTCCTTGTAGTATTTTTTGGAGTGGGGGTTTAGTCGTAATGAAATTCCAGAGTTTCTGTTTTTGTCTGGGAAGGTCCTTATTCTTTCTTCATAGAGGAAGGAGAGCTTTGCGGGATAGAGTATTCTTGGTTGGCATCTGTTTTCTTGGAGTCTGTTGACTATGTCCCTCCACTCTATCCTTGCCCGTAGTGTTTCTTTGGAGAAGTCTGTTGTCAGCCTGATTGGTTTTCCTTTGAATGTTATCTGTTTCTTCCCTCTTGTCAGCTTCATTATTTTTTCCTTGTCTTGGATTCTTGGGAGCTTTACTATTATGTGTCTTGCTGTATTTTTCCTTTCGTCATGGAAGTTTGGTGTTCTTGCTTCTTGTATATCAATTTTCAGCTCTTTCTTCACTTTTGGGAAGTTCTTTTCAATTATTTCCTTGAATATTTTCTCTGTTCCTACATCTCTCTCCTTTCCTTCTGGGATTCCTATAACTCTTATATTTCCTTTCCTCATGGAGTCAGATAGTTCCCGAAGTCTTTCTTCGGTGTTTTTCCTTGGTACTTCTCTTTCCTTTTCTGTTTTGGTTCTTTTTATTTCTGTGTCTTCAAGAGTACTTATTTGTTCTTCCATTTCATCTATTCTGCTTTCATTTGCTTTTCCCAGAGTTCTTTAGCGCCTCCATTAATTCTTTGATCTCCTGCATTTCTTTTACTTCCCTCTTTAGGGACTCAATTTCATTCTTCTGAGTGTTGTTTTCCTTAATGAATTCCATCAGTTTTTTCATCAGGGCAATTTTAAGTTCTTTTTCTGTAAGGCTCAGAAGTTCTTCCAATTTACCATAGTTGCAAGCTGGTGGGTGGTTTTTTTTTTTTTTTTTTTTTTTTTTTGTGGTGTGTCTTTTTTCTGAGGCGTTGCTACTTTGCTTGTAGTTTTTCTTTTTTCTGCTGCCTGTCTTCTAATTTGCCTTATGCGTTGGGACACTGTGCCGCTGATACTGGCTGGCATCTTTTTGGTGTGTTCTTTCGGGAGTTTCAGAAACTGGCAATCCAAACGAGTCAAAAACTGTTATGCCAGAAGTCTAGTGAGGCAGTGGTACTTTGAGTATGTTAATGGTTACTGTCACAGAATCTCTCCTCTTTCTGAGTTTAGTTACAAATGTGCGTCTTGAAGTCCCACAGACTTCCCTGGAGGTGGGGCAGCTGGATTGCACTCTGGTTCCAAATCTCTGGATCCTCCTCTGGGCTCTGACATCCTGCCAGGTGGGACTGGGCTTGTGGGGGCCTTCAGCTCACCTCTGACTGTGCAGGGAACCTTCTCCCTCTGGCTCCACGGGGAGCCTTCTGCCAAATTCAAGCAGTCTTTATTGTAGAAAGTTCCCTGTTCTAAAATGGAGCTTTGGAGACAGGCACACTCTCCCGCATACTGGATCTGTCCCTGCTGTGGGTGCCCGCTCCCCCTCTGGGCTCGGACTGCTGGTCAGAAGGGGCCTGGCTTGGGCGAACTTCCCAACTCACCTCCGACTCCTCTGGGAGCCTTCTGCCGATTTCAAGCAGTCTTTACTGAAGAAAGGTCCCTATTCTATGGGGTGTTGGTGATTTTTTTCTGGTCGCTAGGTGGCGCCAGAGATCTCTCCTAGTGTCCTTGGGGAGCTGTTTTTTTTTACCCCGCGGGACAGGGGAACAGAGTGGGAGTGGTGGGGAAAGCCTCAACGGCTTTGGGGTGCTGTGTCTGCCTTGTGCCCCACCGTCGTGGGGATCCCACGCCCCGAATTTCATGCCCTGAGTCTCAGTTCCAAACCCCTCAGGTCTAGGACGCGGGCTGTAGCCCAGTTCAGTGTCTGTAGAAATGGCGCCTTTTGCACCCCACTCCCATGTCGGGCGCCTGGTTTCTGATTACTCAGTGAGGGACATTCACCTCAGTGAGGGCCCCCCTGCGCGTCTCCCCGCAAGCCTAGGTCGCAGGCGCGGTGACCTGGGCAGCCGTGATCCGTGTATCCTTTCCAAGTGCACTGCTTCTCCGCACAAGCTTCCTGGCTGGCCCGGGGCTGTGTGTAGGTCTCCAGGAGTCTTTGTTTTTCTCTAATGGTGCCTGGAGCCGTGTGCTCACCTCCTCGCTGTGAATCCTGCTGGGTTCTCCACAGCTCCAGTTCACAGGGTGTGGTGGCTGAAATAGTTCCTTTCCACTCACAGACCTGCTTGATGCGTAGTTTGTACTTGTTGGTTGTTTTAGTTTTTTCCTCCTTTCTGTTGGTCGGAGAGTGCCAACTTTGTAGGTGGGGGAGGGTAGCAGGGTTCTCAGCTTTCCTCCCTTCTAGTCCTCTTTTATGACAACTTTCTTCTTTGGGTAGTTTGCTGGAGTCGCCCGTTTATCTTCCGTGTCCCAGTTCTCACTGGGACCTGCCGCTTTTCCTCCCTATTAACTTTTTTTTTTAATGGGAAATCTTACTCGCAGCATTTCCTCGCCCCATTTTGATCCCAAATTCCAACAAAGATAAAACTTAAAACATAAAATAAATTGGGGATTATGAACCCTCATTCTGCCATAAGAATTCCAGACAGATTTTCTTTGTGTAGTGAGTTCATTTAAGGTAAGTTCAGCTTATTAAAAAGGTAATTTGTTGTTTATCGGCTCTAATATTTAAAAGCTTTTCTCACATATTTAGGTGCTCAGAAAAGTCTCTTCTCTATCTAAAAGTGATACAGCCCTCTGAGTTCTTTCTTGAAAGTATTTGACTATTTTTTAGTATATTGCGAAAATTTTTTGGAAGTGTTAGTGTCTTTATTTAATTTTGTATTTGTTTCCTTGCTAACTGTACTGTGATTTCCTTTAAGGGCCATCTGTGATGCAAGGAAATGTTGCTTAAGGGACTTGACATATAGTTGAGTGTTTTGTGTATTAGTAGGCTCTCTGTATGTTGATTCATTTCAGATGAGAGATAGGGAGGAGTTCAGTTGATAATGTCTCTTCCTCCTCTTTTTTCCACTTCCATCTAGGCTCAGAATAGATGGGTGAGAACAAAGGGGAAAGCCAGGAGAGGTTCTCTGAAACTCTTAATACCTTATATTTTAAAATGATTTTATTTATATTGTGTTAGAACAGCCAGCACAACCCTTGACAGCATAAGTGGGTTCAACTTGTTTGGATGAAACTAGAAATTTCTGTACTTTATATGATAGTGTTAGGGGGAAAGGATGTCCTAAAGCTAATTCTATACAGGCTTTGTGGACTCCACCCCCACCCCAGGCCAAAGCCAAAGACACTGGGAACTCCAAATCCTATCACCACCAAAGGGAAGGTGGCTGGGACCTGAGGATGGGGTTAAGCAGCCAGGTTGGTATAAAGCCAGACACGTGGGCTTTGGAGGGGTCCCCCATTTTGACTCTCTGCCAGCTCGCAGCGCCCGACCAGCTCGGAGAGTGCTTTTTGGGTTTCCAGGTTGGCGGATTGGGTAGGACGTATTAAAGACTTTATTTCCCTATTTTCTCCCTGAGTTGTACATTTTCCTTATTTCCTTTTCCCTTGTAAATAAACCTTTTATTAACCTTTTGTGTATGCCTGTAGTGGAGTATTAATAAGTCCCTTTTAAACGCGCGGGTAAGGACCCACAGCCAGGCAACCCGTTCAATATCGGGACTGCCCTATAACAATAGGACCTTAACACTCCATACACTGGCTAACTAAATTAGTCCCTTCATTTTCTTAAACCATTTTGTGTTTTTCTGGCTCTTCTGTGTTCATACTGTAAAATTCATCTTCCTGCTGCTCCTATTATCTCAGTCAATCTTAAATAACAATATTAAAAATGAAGTAGGGTGGGAATTTTAATTGGAAGACTTGATTAAGAGGGGCTAGGTAGTAAGATTGTCAGCTTTTTAAATTTCAACTCCATTGTTCACAGGTCACATTCTCTTACACAGAAGATGATAGTAGGGATAATATATCTACCTCACAAGAGGGTAAAGTGGGTAATGCATATGAAATGCTTAGTATAGTATTTGTTGGCTAGTAAATACTTTAAGAAGTAAAATTTGGGGAATTAAATTTTGTTTTCTGACTCTGCTAGCATTTGTCCCCATAAAGGTATATTATCTTTTTTTAGATAATACTAAATAATACTAAATATCTTTTTTTAGATAATACTAAATAAATCCTAGTTTTTTTCAAATTATAAATATTAAAGAAGAACAGAGTGACTCTTCTTCTGCTTTAAGACTTTGGTTAAAATTGGAATTTCCTGTTTGAAAAATATTCTGCTTTCTGTTATATTTGAATATGATTCTGAAGGAATAATCCTATAAGTCTTATTTACCTTTAATTACAGCAAAGTTATATTAAAATACATTTCTTCCCCTTAAGGACCCTAGAATTCCCAACAGTGTAAGATTGTCATAGCTTCTTTTTTCTTTTGGCTCTGAGTTCTAGCATGTATTTTGGCATTATTAAAGTTAGTTAAATAAGGTTGCTTTCACCTAGGTTCTGGTTATTTTCAAAATGAATTTGATGCTAGAAAACATTGCTTTTTTTTTTTTAAGATTTATTTATGCATACAAGAACTGGGGTGTCAGCCAGAGGTGTGGGGGGTGAGAGGATTCACCAGAGTCAGAGTAGGGAGCAGAACAGGCAGATCTACTGAAGTACACTGCTGAGGGGAGCAGCGGGCAAGACAGGAGTGGTCTGCTATACCGTGTATGTTATCTTTCTGGCCGGGGATCAAATTCATGTTGCAGTGGCTGGCAGTAGCTTGACAATGCTGAGACTTTAACCCCTGTGCCACCAGGGAGGCCCTGCTTTTAGTTTTTTAAAGTAATTTTCATCTTTGTATTATAGACGCAGGGACAGAGCTCATCGAGAGATCAAGAATATTTTCTATAAGGCAATCCAGAAACGTAAACAATCAGAAGAAAAAGTGGATGACATTCTCCAAACGTTACTAGATTCTACTTATAAGTAAGAACTGTTCAAATCATATATAAAACTGAAGCTAGAAATTACACATTAAAATATAGTTAAATAATACTTCGAGTTAAAAAATGATACTTGCAATTAGTAATGCTAACCTTCAGCCTTTTTAAATGAATGAGACATAAATTACCAAATCCTGTGCCTTGTTGGAATCTCAGTGACTGGGTGAGAAGTTTGCTAATAAACTACAATAAAGTCCTTCGTAATCAAAACAATATTTTCTATTGAAGTAACATTTCATTAGAACATAAGTTTCAGGTATACATCATTAAAAATCAGCATTCAAATCATTGAAAAGTCAATGTGTGTATACACTACAGTAAGTTCATTGGTGAAAGCCCAGTTCAATGAATTAAGAAAAGAACCCTAACGTAAACTAAGGACTTTGGGTGACTACGATGTGTTAATGTAGATTAATCCTTGGCCAAAAAACTGTAGTATTTTGGTCAGTGATGTTTATTGGGCTGGGGGGAACTATACATGTGTGGCAATAGGGAGTATTTGGGAAATCTGTACCTTCCACTCACTTCTACTGTATAGCTAAAGCTAGTCTAAAATATAGTCTTTAAGAATACATTTTTTAAAAAAGAAACATTAAATAAACATTTTCTGTTGGTATGTTTCCCTAATGGAAAACAAAATTAATGTGACTTGTGACAGGTAGTCCCAAGAGACTTATTATATGTAAAAAGTTTATCATTATGATCCTTTAAAGGTTGAGGCATGAACTACGTCTCAAAATGTTGAATTGATATGTGTGGTTTCTTCTGCAGGAATGGGTGTCCTTTGACAGATGACGAAGTAGCAGGCATGCTTATTGGACTGCTTTTGGCAGGGCAGCATACATCCTCAACGACTAGCACCTGGATGGGCTTCTTTTTAGCCAGAGATAAAGCACTTCAAAAAAATTGTTATTTAGAACAGAAAGCAGTCTGTGGAGAAGATCTGCCTCCTTTAAGTTTTGATCAGGTTTGTTAGCTTTTCAGTTTCATTGCTGCTTTGGGACTTTGCGAGTATCTGTGACTATTTATACAAGCACTGGGTACAGTCAGAAGTGCGGGAGGGTGAGAGAATTCACCAGAGCCAGAGTGGGGAGCAGAACAGACAGACTGACAAAGTACGCTGCTGCGGGGAGCAGCGGGTGAGGCAGGAGAGGTCTGTGCGCTATGTGGGACCCTCGCCGGTGGCTGGGGATTGAACCAGGGCTGCAGAGGCTGCAGGCAGCTTCGCAGCCCAGCGCTCAACCGCTGCGCCACCGGGGAGGCCAATTTGCTTCATTATTTTTAGAATGTTCCTTATTTACAGAATGTTCCTGAAACATTCTATTGTTATTGCTTCTTGCTGTTAACCTTTATGAGATATGTTTGCATTAATGTGTAGGACATCCTTGGTACTTATTTCCTCTGTTTTGAAATCTGGATCCTGGAGGATAGGGGATATTATGTGTTTGTTGTATGTCTTTAAAGTGTCAAAACTTTTGAATTACTCAGAATTCTACAGGCCCAGAATTGCCTATAGTTAGAAGTTTCCATTTCTAAAAAGCTGTGGTAGCAATAATGGGGACTAGAAATACACACTGTAACACCTCCCTTGCTAAGCTGAAAAGGAAAAAGATTGACAGCACATATTGAGATTTCATTTTTGGACCACAGCCTGGTCATATTCCCTTCCTGTTATTTTATTTTTTATTTTAATCATTTATTAGTAGAGTGTATTACATTGTTTGAATTTCAGATGCTAATTCTTTCCTTCTATGGATAAATCCCACATTGTCATGGTATATAATGCTTTTTACATGTTAATGGATTCATTTTGTTAGTTTCTTGTTCAATATTTTTACATTTATATTAATAAGGGATAATTGGCCTATAGTTTTTTTGTGATGTCTTGGTTTTGTTATTAGAGCAGTATTTCCCTCACAGAATGAATTTGGATGTATTCCCTCTTGCATATTTCGGAAGTTGGTTAAGTCGGTGTTAATTCTTTATTATTTGAACATCTTTAAATGTGCTTTTTGAGTATTGCTATACCATCTTTGTAGAAACTGCTGTTAAATTTCTGTTCCCATCCTTAAATTGGATTTTCTAATAAGAAATGAGCTGTTAATTTACCCTTATACTTGATGAGTCCCTTCCTTTGTTGCTTTCAAGATTTTATCTTTGTCTTTCAGTGGCTTATGATGTGTCTAGATGTGGATCCTTTTGAGTTTATAAGCTTATTTGATGTCAGATTGATATTTTTCACCAAATTTGGAAAAATTTTGGCTGTAATTTCTTCAACCCTCTTTCATCTTTCTAAGATTCTCATTATGTATATGTTGGTAAGTTAGTGGTGGTTCCATAGGTCTCTACAAAATCAATTGACTTATGTTCAAGTTTATTGCTTCTTATGTCAGTTCATAAATGCTGTTGATCCCTCTCTAGTGAATTTTTCAGTTCTTGTATTTTTAAGTTGCAGAAATTCTTTTGGTTCTTAATAAAATTAATTTACCTCTTTACTAATATTCTCTATCTGGTAAGATGTTTCATATTGTTTTAATTCCTTAAATTAAAATATAATCTTTGAACCTAGTTATAATAGCTGGTTTATTGAAATTATCTAACAACTGGGCCTTTTCAGGGGCAGTTTTTACTAACTTTTTTCTCTGTTTTTTGTTTCTTAAAATTTTTCATTGAAAACTACGTTATAATAACTGGAAATCAGATTCCCTCCTCTCTGGATTTGTTGTTGCCGCCATGGTGTTGCTATTTGCTTGCTTTGTGAATTTCCTGGAGTAGTTCTGTAAAGTCTACAGTCTTTGTCCATTGCAGTTAGTGAAGACTGCTTACTGTAGTGGTCACCTACTGATTGGACAGAGATTTCCTGAAGTGCCTTTAACAATGTCTCCCGTTTTTGGTTTTTTTTTTTTACTGATGGGCTCTGTGTGGTATTTACAGCTACCCCAGAAGGCAGTTACAACACTGCTTTTCTTTTGTGTGCAGATCAGCAGAGTTCAGAGATAAAAGCCCTTTCAGGTCTTACCTGGGTCTGTGCATGGTTCTGTATGTGTGTAACTTTTCAAGAGTTCCAAATATTGGATCTTTTTAGTCTCCTATGAGCATCTCTTTGCCCAACTTTTCCTTTATATTTTTTTACCCATCTCTTGTTAGTTCTGTTGCCTCTAGTAGCTCAGTGTTAAACAATTTCTGCTGATTGTTTTTACAAACTTGTTATGAATTCTATAGTAATTGTTAGGCTGTTTGTTTTCACAGCCAAGCTGTTGGTTTCCAAAACTGTTGATCTGGGGAGAAGAGTAAAGTAGCAAAGCGTAAAGTTACAATACCACAAAGCTCACTATTCTCACCAAGATTCAGCTGTTTTTCTTGAATTAATTTCTCTTTGAGTCATTACAAGCCTGTGGTTAATTTTCTAGACTTTTTAGTTGACATTGTTGACATTGATTGATTGATATTGAAGTTGACATTGATATTTTTTACTAGTTGCTGTCATTTTTTGAGGGGTAAATTTTTGTAGGTCCTTACTAAGCTAGTTTTTAGGGTAATTTCTTCTTTTCCAATATTTTGAATTCATTTCCTTTATTGACTGTAGACAAAAATAGAACAAGATAATCCCAGCCAGTGTGACCAGTTACTTCTGAATTTCTACCCAGGGTAAAAATTATCTTGTAATAACCCAGAAGTTTAAATTATTTTGATGTTGCTGAAATACATTACATATTTATAAAACTTAAGACATTTTTTCTCTTTTTAGCTCAAGGATCTAAATTTACTTGATCGCTGTATAAAAGAAACACTAAGACTTCGACCTCCTATAGTTACCATGATGAGACTGGCCAGAACGCCTCAGGTTAGTCTCGACTAGATCACTTTCTCCATACCCAATTTTTATTTAGTAAAGAAGAGGAACTATAATAGCATCAAAGAGAAATTTTTAATTAAAAATTAGAATAATCCTATATAATTTTTCAATTTTATATACCACAAATGTGTATAATCATAATTGCAGTCAGTAGACATATTAATATGTTCTCTGCATTTTTATTTAACCGTTAGGTTTTTAAAATGAAAGTACACTTTTTTCTTGGTTTTAAAAATGACCTATGTTCTGTTGTAAAAAATTCTGATGATATGGAAGTATATGCATCAGATAGTGAATGGTTTCTTGAAATCATACCCCTACCTCTGCGAATCATGATGTGTATGTGTGTGTGTGTAGCCCAGTATTTGGTTACTTGGAAATCATTGAGTTAAAATAATTTCTAACTGCTCTATCATCTAACTAGTTTTTGAATATATATAGATGTATATCATACATATTAATGCTTTAGTGCACAATGATTTGATTATATGGCAGATTATTTTTGAATTATTTGATGATATGTGTTGCTTCTATTTATAGACTGTAGCAGGGTATACCATTCCCCCAGGACATCAGGTGTGTGTTTCTCCTGCTGTCAATCAAAGACTTAAAGACTCATGGGTAAACCATCTGGACTTCAATCCTGATCGCTACTTACAGGACAATCCAGTGTCAGGAGAGAAGTTTGCCTATGTGCCATTTGGAGCTGGTAAGATGATTACTTGTATATTTTAAATGTTTTGTTTTGGTAACATATTTGTCCTTGTCAGAATAATCCATGTGAATTTTATTTACAAGTATCTTTATCTTTCCTTATAGGGACATTCTTGCAAACTTTTGTAGGAGTGTATCTTTGCAAGTTGGAAAAAATGTTGGGTTGTCGGAAAAATCATGAAATATGGAAAAAAATACATGATGACTTTTCTCACATCTCAATATTTCATTTGCACTACAAGAAATAGTCCTGTGAATCCTCATATAATGCTCTGTCACTTTTTAACCTATCTAGTTTTATCAAGCATAATTTTTGTAGTCCACTCTGTTTTTCCTTGTAATTATATTTAAAGCTCTTGGTGAATCCTGTTTTAAAGAACCATTGTAGTTAATGTGGGTCATCCTTTCAGGCTAATATGATAATACGTCACCATCTTAGAAAAGACTGAAGGCACTCATTTTATTTTATGATTTATTTTATGATTTTATTTTATGATTTATTTTATTTTTATGCATATAAGAGCTGGTGTACAGGCCACAGGTGCCGGTTTTGGTTGGGAGGTGAGAGGATTCCCCAGAGACAGAGTGGGGAACAGAACAGGCAGATTGACCGAAATTCACTGCTGAGGGGAGCAGCGGGCAAGATAGGAGAGGTCTGCCGTGCCATGTGGGTAACTCCCTGGCTGGGCTCGAACTTATGCTACAGTGCCTGCAGTTAGCTTCATAGGTTGTGTCTTAACCAGGGAACCACCAGGGAGGCCCTGAAGGCACTCGTTTTAATCTGCTCCCATTTGAACTTTTCTGGTGATGAGTTTGCTCCCTTAATTTATATGGTAGCTCTTTTCATTGTTGGATAGCTCTCATTTTTAGAAACTGATATTAAAGTTGTAATCTGTTTCCTTTTAAAATTCCACTTATACTTAGTGCTAATCTGGCCTATGAAGGTTCATTTATATCTCTCTGAGCTATTTGTATGTAGATATTCCCTCAAATCTTTCTTTCATCGTTGTGTTAGTTTCCTAGGACATCTGTAACTATCAGAAACTTAAGAGAAATATGTTCCCTCACAGTTCTGGAGGCTCAAAGTTTCAAATCAAGTTTGTAGGACCTGGCTCCCTTTGATTGCTCTAAGAATCTTTCCTTGACTTTTCTTAGGTTGTGGTAGTTGTTGGCAATCGTTCCCATTCCTTGGATTGCAGCCGCATCAGCCTAATCATAGCCTCCGTCTTTTCATGACCTTTTCCCTTGTGGATGTCTCTCTGGGTCTCAACATGATTTTATTATTTGTATACCAGTCATTGGATTTAAGGCCCACCCTAATCCATTATGACCTTATCTTAACTAATTACACCTGCTAAGACTAATTCTGGTGGACTTCAGAATTGTGGACAGGAATTTTGGGGTGACAGTGTTCAACCCCATACAATCATGTTAAGTATCTTCAACTTCTTTGACCATTCTTTTCCTTTGTAATTGTGCTGTTATCTATGTTGGTGCATGTAACTTGTAGTTAATTCATTTTCATGATACATTTTGTGAATCTTAAGGATTTATTGATTTTTCTGTGGACTCCTAGTTAGAATACTTTGTAAATACCTCTCTAAATGTGGTTCCTAGAAGTGCACAGTGCCACATAAGCACTTTTTAAGCATTTTATGTTAATATTTTCTCCATTTAATTCTCACAACCACACATTTTGTGGGACTATTTTATGAGTTTTTCAGAACTGGAAACCACCACTTATTTATTAGCAAGGTTTAACTTTTCTCAATTCAATCATATTCCTTATAAATTAATATATATTTAACCTAGATGTTAAGTTTCAGAAAACTAGAGGTGATATAATTTTCCAAGTGCCATTTCTTTAAAAACATGTTGAAAAGCCCAGATCTGTATTAACTATTTACAATCTTGTTTTATGTAAAAAGAATGTCATCTTCTAAAAAAAAAAGCCATCTTCTTACTAAAATATTCACTTGCTATTTATCTAAAATTGATAATTGATAAATGTTTATAACTCCAGGCTAAATGGAGAAAGGATTTCAGCTTAAATACCTAAGGAAACCTTTTCTTTTTTATTTTTATAGGACGTCATCGTTGTATTGGGGAGAATTTTGCCTATGTTCAAATCAAGACAATTTGGTCTACTATGCTTCGTTTATTTGAGTTTGATCTCATTGATGGATATTTTCCCACTGTGAATTTTACAACCATGATTCACACCCCTGCAAACCCTGTTATCCGCTACAAACGAAGATCAAAATGAATACAACTGCAAGGAACTAAAAAGTCAAACATCACTGTAAACTACAAAAGCATTGAAGAGAATGAAGTTTACAAAACAACTTCCAGTGTGCTGTTTATTGAATGTGTAATGTGAAGACAGCCAGCTTAATGTAGTAGTTTTTGTATTTTCTTAACTGAATGGTTCCATGACATCTAATGGCATTTCAGATATTTCCTAAATTTTATGATGGGAATTTATAGAAATAAAGCTCATTAGGGCCTTCCCTGGTGGTGCAGCAGTTGAGCGCTGGGCTGCGGGGCTGCCCGCCGTCTCTGCAGCGCCGGTTCTCCGTTCCCTGGCTGCAAGAAAGAAAACTCATTAGGGCCTCCCCCGGTGGCGCAGCGGTTGAGTGCTGGGCTGCGAAGCTGCCCGCAGCCTTTGCAGCAACAGTTCGATCCCCGTCCAGCGGCAAGAGTCCCACATGGCACAACAGACCTCTCCTGCCGCACCCACTGCTTCGGTTCCCTCAGCAGTGTATTTCGTCAGTCGTTCTGTTCTGTTCTCCTCTCTGGCTCTGGTGAATTCTCTCACCTTCCCGTGCTTCTGACTGTACCCAGTGCTTGTATAAATAAATAAATAAATCTTAAAAAAAAAAAAAAACTTAAAAAAAAAAAGAAATAAAGCTCATTAGTAAAAAATTGCTGAGGGGAATCTTGGTAATTGGCAGATCCTAAGTAAAACAATTTCCAGGTGTTAATTATAAGAGCATACTGAGTTCTTGGTAAGATACAGATACTAGAAGCATTTGGTTATTTATTCATTTACTGAGTAACACCTGTCTGTATGTTCATTTACTGAATAAACTCGAATTTAAAGTCTTGAATAAAAGAATACTATTGTTTTGGTATTAGGATACTCAGCAATGATGGATCTGTATTGTAGAAAAATAGGTCCTTTTAAATTTTAACTGGAGGCACTGTCTATAAGACAGTGAGAGCTGACAATGGCTTAGTTATGTTTCCTAAAAATAATACTAAAGACTGCTCATGTAACTTAACTGATTAATAAGTCTTACATATTTATCTACCTGATAATATGTATCTGTTTCCACATGGTCACATCTTTGTGAAAGTCCAAAATAGTCCTTAAGAGGGATACTCTTTGTGCTCAAAGAATTCCCTTCTTTCTTTCTAGAATACATTTAAGGGTGTTTCTGTTACTAGTATTATTGATTAAATTTAAATTTAGAATTTTGTTTAACAAGTGGGTTTTTTTCTAAATGTAAAATTTGGAATCAGGGAACTCTGGACTTCAGAGTAACTAATATGAGCAGGGTCTATGGGAGTAATATCATTAATCACATTCTGTGTAGCCTGTGTTCAAGCCTGACTATATGCTATCTGTAATATGACCACAGTCTGTTCTTAACAATTCAGGCTACAATATTTTCCCTTATGTGTATAGTTTCATTTAAGAGAGAGGACTCTTGTTAAACTACTTATGAAGGCAAATCTCTTCTGTTAAATTTTCCACATTAAAATTATCTTTGAGAAAAATACTGTCTGTATTCATAAATTATAAAGTTGTGTGCTTCATGTAAGTAGAATTTAGGGATCTGGGAATTTGGATAGAAAAAAATATACAAATTTTAAACTGTTTATTTCCTTTTTAAATAGTTAGGTAACATCACCTAAGTGTTTGCAGTTTGGTGTGCAGAAACCACAGGTGTTTTCATGCCATATTACAGATGTTGCAGATCTCTTGAGATATCTTACTTTCATATCTACTTTAAAATTATGGTTATTAGATCTGATAGTTCTTATTTAATGTCTAATTTCTATATATTACAAAATTTTTTTAATGGTTTACTATAATTGGTTTCTTTTACAGTCTTATGTATTGTCCTTTTTTGGGGGGAGGGGTGAAGGGAAACAAACCAGTTTATTGAGAGACAACAGGGAGGACTAAAAGGCTGGGGGAGAGGAATGGATTTGATATCTTTGGACCAGTCAGGATCTCGCCAGCTTTATAGTTGCAGTTAAAATACTTAAAAACATTCTGAGAAGCAGGGCCTCCTTGGTGGTGCAAGGGGTTAAGTACTGCACTGTGGAGCAATCCGCAGCCTCTGTAGCGTGAGTTCGATCCCCAGCCCGCCAGGGAGCAAACCACATGGCACAGCAGACCTCTCCTGTTGCCCACTGCTCCCCTCGGCAATGTACTTTGGTCAATCTGCCTTCTGTTCCCCGCTCCGTCTCTGGTGAATCCTCTCACCCTCCACATCTCTGAGAAGGGACCCATAGTTTCACAAGACTGAGAGAGGCTCATGGCACCAAAAAAGTTAAAACCCTGAGGATAGGGCTAATCTATATTTAGTTTAAAACTTTTAATAGATTTAGTTTTTAATCACAGACTAATTGTTGAGAAGCGTTTGACTGTGAAAGTCTGATGGACATGTAAGAAGGCCTGGTCAAAAAAATGGGAATGAGATTGCTCAGATTACCTTTTTCCTTTCCCTCTTAGAGCAGAATAGCCTTGGACGGCAAGCTGTCTGCTAGTTTAACAAGGCTGTACCTCCAACCCTACCCCTTTAACTGCTTTATTTTTATTTATTTATTTATATTTATTTATACAAGCACTGGGTACAGTCAGAAGCGCGGGAGGGTGAGAGAATTCACCAGAGCCAGAGTGGGGAGCAGAGCAGGCAGAAGGACCGAAGTACACTGCTGAGGGGAGCAGCGGGCGGCAGGAGAGGTCTGCGCGCCATGTGGGACCCTCCTCTGGTGGCCGGGGAGCAGCCGGGGGATCGAACCGGAGACGCAGAGGCTGTGGGCAGCTTCGCAACCCAGTGCTCAACCGCTGCGCCACCGGGGAGGCCACTTTAACTGCTTTAGATTATTTTTTTTTGGAACTCAGCTGCTAATATAGAGAATTTAAGTAATTTGAAATCTCAAAAAATTAGAATTAGCTACCATAGCTTGCGTTGATAAAAATAAAAATATCCACTGGTATGACAATCCTCTGGATGTATGCATCAATTACTCGTTTTAGTGAGTTGCCATGTTATCAGGGGGAGACACTATGTACGAAACATGGCTGAGGTTTACATCATCTCTGTGACAGTTTCCCAATTTGAACTTGGCTTAGACAGCAGGGATACTGTTTACTTGTGCTGCATTGCTCTTAGTAATTTAAGATTATTTCATTTAGGATTCTATCACTTAAGTGATTTCTGTATCTTAGTAGGCATGGTTTGTGAAGACATCTTTGGATACAAATAACACCATAATAGGACAAATATAGATTATGAAAATATGTACACTGCTTTTTAAAAATATTATACAGATGTAAAGTTGATACAAAGGCACATGGAAAACTTCACTGTAGGGACAGAGAAATCCCAACTTTAAGATAGACAATTTTTTTTTCTGAATCTCTGAGTTCTACATATTTGAGATAATAGGGTAATATGCACTGCTAAAAACTGGCTATTTATGTACCTAAACCCCTTCACATGTTGAAACCTAATTTCCAGTTCATTGGTATTTGAAAGTGGATTTTCTGGCAAGTTATTAGGTAATGGGGGTGAAGGTCTAATGAATGGTATTAAATTCCTTTATTATAGCTTAAGTTATTGAGGTTCACATAGGAGCATAATACCATGTCCACTACCAAAGCACCAGTAATCTTCCATCTTAGTCCTCTGGGTCGCCGTACCCCTTTTCTCCCAAGTACTCCCCTTCCTTTCTGGTAGTCTCAATTCTGTAGTCATTTCAAGGATTTGTTTTGGCTTAGTTTTGTCTGTTGCTTTTTCTTTATACTCTACATATGAATGGAAGAATCTGGTATTTTTTTTCTGATTTTCTTAGTGTAATCCCCCTCCAGTTCCAGCCATGTCAAATGGCAAGTTTTTAACTTTATTTTCAAAACTGAGCATTTCATCATACATACATATATATATATATAAACACATCTTAGATGTGTTACATTTTTGCACTCATCAGATGAATATCTAGGAGTGGAAATCATATAGTCATCTATTTTTAATAGTTTGATAAAGCTCCCTATTGTTTTCCATAGGGACTGAACCAGTCTACATGCTCACCATCAATTCTTTTTTTTCCACTCCATTCTAGCTGTTTCTGGACTTTTTAATATGGGTCATTCCACCTCCTTTTGATTTGCATTTCCTTAATAAGTGATGAAAAATTTTCATATGCCTGTCGGCCTTCTGTATGACTTTAGATCTTCTGCCAATTTTTTGATTGTTTTCTTATGAGTTTCTTTGTAGATGGTTATTAGTTCCTTGTCAGGTGTGTGATGTGCAAATAGTCTCAGTAGGTTATCTCCCATCTGGTGTAATTCCTCATTTAAGTTTATTCTTTGTTGATTTTGCCTGGTTAATCTGTCCATTGATGAAAGTCAGGTGGTGAAATCCCTTATTACTATTGTTTCACTGTCAATGCTTTTATATTGCTTTGGTATTCCTTCATTTGGTGCCATGTAATCTGATGAATGTTATGGCCTTCTAACATATTGTATTGATACCTTAAATTGCAAGTCCATTCTTGTCTCATGGAATGAAGAGTCTGTTTTTTTTTTTTTTTGGTGGAAGGGACCCTCGCCGGTGGCCAGGGATCGAACTGGTGCTGCAGAGGCTGCGGGCAGCCTCGCAACCCAGTGCTCAACCACTGCGCCACCAGTGGAGGCCCTGAAGTGTCTGTTTTATCTGATGTATGATTTTCTTTGCATTTTATGAGTCCCATTTAGTTTGAATCTATGTTTATCTTTGTAGCTCAGGTAGTTTAAAAAAAAACAAAACCCAACTTCCTGGATATAGTAGGAAGTTGGGTTTTGGTTTTTTTTGATCCAACTAGCCACTCAATGCCTTTTGATTAAGTTCAGCCCATTTAAATGAAGGGTGATTATTGATAAATGAGGGTTTGCTACTGCCATTCTGTCTTTAGTTTTCTTTTTTCTTAAGATTTATTTATTTATGCATACAAGAGCTGGGATAGAGGCCAGAGATGCGGGGCGTGAGAAGATTCACCAGAGACAGAGGGTAACAGAACAGGCAGACTGACTAAAGTACACCGCTAAGGGGAGCAGCGGGTGAGACAG